GGGGGAAGGACCATGGTGGACGGGCGCTTCGGAATAAAAAAAAAATAAAATAAAAAAAAAATATTGGAGATATATAAGACGAAAGTGTTTTGTTTTTGTGTTTTTTTTCTTATCAATTTGCGTGTTTGTTATTCCTGTTGATTCGTTTATTTAATATCGTTGTTATCGGTTTTATGGAAGTGGAAGAAAAGTTGAGGGAGATTTGTTTTATTTCTTTATATGCAAGGATTGTTTATCATTTACGAGTGATTATTTTATTTATTCATTTTTTTTTTTTTTTTTTTGGGGGGGGGGGCAGACAGTCTTATCAATTTTTGTCACTTTCGTTTTCAGCTGAAGACTATTGATGAAAGTACAAATCCGCGGCACTCCTGTGCTAGGAATGTAACAAGTTTTTTCCCTCCTTTCGAGAATATAACAGGAAATTTCACAAGTACTTGTAATTTGACATTCAACAATAAAATCTCGAAAAAGCACAATAAAATATAAATCAAGAAAAAAATAAGTATATGGTTTATTGGAAACAAAATAAATAAATAAATAAAAATTAAAATCCAGACGAAAACATAAAAGATAAACAAGTAGTTACGCAACTTTGCGATCTTTCACTACCCAGCCTTATGACGTCATAGGATACGAAGAATGACGTCAGGAAGAAATGAGGTAGAAAAAAATCGAAAGATAAGAATCCAAGACGAGGAAAATGTAAAAGGGTGAACAATAAGAAAAGAAAAACGCATGATATCATCATTAACAAGAGTGAAAGAATATGAAAATAATATTAAACATCATCGTTAGGAAAGGTTGTGACGAAAGGTTAAAGGAAAGGAAGAGGGTCAGCTGGTCATCTGTTTCCATGGGGGGGTTCTAGGGGGGGGGATCTGACTCACATAACAAACGACATTCCTCATATAAGGTGTGTGTGAGGTGATTTAAAAGTGCCATTTGCTACTCTCTCTCTCTCTTTTCCTTTCTAATTCCTCTGTTTTTTTTCTTTTTTTTCTTTCTCTGAATCTGCGTCTATGTCTGTCTGTCTGTTCTGTCTCTCTTTCTCTTCTCTCTCTCTCTCTCTTTCTCTCTCTCTCTCTCTCTCTCTCTCTCTCTCTCTCTCTCTCTCTCTCTCTCTCTCTCTCTCTCTCTCTCTCTCTCTCTCTCTCTCTCTCGCTCGCTCGCTCTCTCACTCTCTCTCTGCCTGACTCTCTTGCCCCTTGCTAGTAGAAAGTGATGTTGAAATAGAGTCAGGCACACTGTCTGAAAGGGAATTTGTAGAAGTAGTAGCAACACGTATTTCACGGTTCTTATGAGGGATTGGCTATGAACAGAATGCCCATCAGAACCCTATAGAATGGATCTTTATCTGGCACTCAAACACAATCCTGATTAATGGCACTTGGCCTTTCCTCCCTCCCTCCCTCCCTCTCCCTTCTTCCCTTCCTCCCTCCCTCCCTCCCTTCCTCGCTCCCTCCCTCCCTCCCTTCTTCCCTCCTTCCCTTCCTACCTTCTTCCCTCCCTTCCTCGCTCCCTCCCTCCCTCCCTTCTTCCCTCCTTCCCTCCCTTCTTCCCTCCCTCCCTTCCTCCCTCCCTTCCTACTTCCCTCCTTCCCTCCCTCCCTTCTTCCCTCTCTTCCTCCCTTCCCCCTCTCGCCTCTACCCCTTCCCCCACTCCCCCACTTCCCCCTTCTCCCTCTCCCTCCCCGTTCCCCTTAGCCAAGATAGGGCGCCGTGGAGTGAAAGCTAAGTGGGAAGGGGCGGTAGGAGATCCTCTGGCTATAGCTACTACCTTGACCTGCACACGCGAGGGAGAAAAAAAAACTTTCGTTATGTGAAAACACAATGTAATACACCATTTTACATTATCCTATCGCGTTCGAGTTGTTGTAGAGATTTTTTTCAATCCTGCTAACCGATTTTGTCGTGGAGGTTTAAGTAGGATTTTCGATCGATCTAACGAAAAGCAATGAAATACCGAAAAGCATCGATCAGGGGCAGAGAGGATGAGATCAAGTATTATTTTTTTCTTAAGGACGCAATGTGCCGCGACGAAACCCAAAGAAATCCCCTAAAAAGTATCGATTAGGGAAAGGAGACGAGTGTGACGTCGAGGAAGCGTCGATGTTCCTAAAGTCGTCAGAGGGAGATCCCCGAGACTCGACCTGAGCACATGGAGGGATTTTTTGTGCCTCGCTTTCGGCTTGGCACGTCTGGTTGGTCTCTTTTGCTGTCTCCTTTTTTTCTCAGTGGTTTTCTTTTTTTCCTTTTGGTCCTTTCTCTGTTTGTTTGTTCGTGTGTTGATTTGTTTATTCACTTAATTTACTTTGTTCTCTTTCTCTTTCTTTCTTCCTCCTTATCCTCCTCTCCCCCTTTTCCATTTTCCTCCTCATCCTCTACCGCCCCCGTCTCTCTCCTTTCCCATCCTCTGCCTCCTCCTTTGTTTCTTCACCGTGACTTTCTCTCCCTCTCAACCTGCGTGATTCCCTCCACTGCGTCACGGGAAATGCCCAAAAACCTGTTCGGATAAGTGGACTCTTCACGATTTTCAAATAATAATGACAATGATAAAGAGAAATGGTGCTGTTACTATGTTATTTTCTTCCTTTCTTGCTTTTTTTTTCTCTTCTTTTCTTTCTTTCGTTTTTTTATTGAGGAGAAAAATGTATTTGAGTGGCTAGTGGTGATTGCCTTTACCAGCCTGTCAAGCGAATGATTTGCTTAGATTGAAAAGTTAGTATATTTTTACTATTATTACTACATTTATCAATACTACTACTGCTGGAAATAATGTTAAGAATACTGAGGATGATAAGAATGAAAATGATAATAACAATGATGATAATGGCATTACAAAATAATAGTTCTAGTGATGATATATACGATGATAACGATTATTATCATGATGGTAGTAATAACAACAAGAACAAGAAAAAATATGTAAATTAGCAATGATAATGATGGTAAAAATAATAACCATCAATAATAAATCCGCATTAGAGAAAAACGTAAACAGAGCGAAAGACCCTTGCCTTTTGAAGCAAAAATAACCCATTAAACAAAGACCCGAAAAAGGGAGAGAGAGAGAGAAAGAGAGAGAGAGAGAGAGAGAGAGACAGCCGAAACTACGAGAAAGAGGCACATAGAAGGTGAGGGGGGGAGGGATAAAGAAAAAAAACAGAGAGAAAGAGAAAGAGAGAGAGAGAGAGAGAGAGCCGCCCCATACCAGACCACATAGCGGTGCTATTATTCTGCCGGCTGTTGGGAGTTCCCCGGGAATATTGGGGTAACGTTGAGCGCGTTTGAGTGCGTGAGAGGGAGGGGCGGGGAGGGGAGGGGGAGGCAGAGGGAGAGACAGAGAGAGAGGGACGAGGTAGGGGAGGGAGAGGGAGAGAGAGAGACAGGGGGTAAGGGGAAGGGGAAGAGGAGGGAGAAGAAGAGGGGGGGGTAGACGACAGGTGCAAGGAGGGAGAGGGTGAATGGGACAGGGAAAGAGAGGAGAGAGAGAGAGAGAGAGGGAATGAGTTAAGGGCAGTATGAGTAGAAGAAATGAGGAAGGATTGAGATAGGGAGATAGAGAAATGGGATGTGAAAGATAGACCAACATGAATAGAGAGACGGAGAAAAGAGAGATTAAAGAACTGATAGACAGTATGTATAAAGAACTTACTAAATAGATCAGAGATGAGAAAGGGCCAGAGATAGACACACAGCGAGTGATATACAGACAAAGATAAAGAGCGAGGGATGATTTTAGCGCGTCAATTGTGGTTGCCATTAATATTCTGCTATTGCTCGTCTCTCGGTGATCATGTGCGTCGGCGTGGAATAAATTCGTGTTTGTGGTAAGAGGAGATAGATATAAAGTGTGTTAAAGAACTGATGTGTGCAGGAAGCTAACTGTTTGACTTTTTCGCGTTTTTCATTTTCATTCTGATTATTATATCACTGTCATTAGCAGAAGCAGTAGCAGTAGCAGTATAATAATAATAATAATAATTATTATTATTATTATTATTACTACTATTATTATTATTATCATTATCATTATCATTATCATCATCATCACTATCATTATCATCACTATCATCACCATCAATATCACCATCAAAATCACCATCATCATCATCGTAATCATTATTATTATGTAGCTACGACAGTGCTTACCTATTTACCTTTCTACTCAGGTAACTTTCCTTGACACTTACCTCAACCTCCCTACTTCTTTCCTATTGCTACCCCGCATGCTCTGCTGAATTTACCACACGAACTTTCAACATTATAGAAAACGGGCGGATTGGGTGTTGTTAAACAGAGGATACGCGGTTAACTTTTAATTCGGATAATATACTTTTATTTTTTATTTTACTACGAATCGAATCAACACGTTCAGTAGAGCTTGGTAGCATTTCCGTATATTGTTTTTTTTATTAAATATTTAGGTTAGAGAACGTTCTGTTTGTGTAATTTTGAAAGCAACTTGGTTTGCTTTTTAATTACATGTTGTTATTAGTATATAATGAGAGTGACGAAGACTAAGTGGCGGGAAAGAAAGAAGAAAAGGAGGATTCTGAAAAGACGATAATAAGTAAAATAATAATAATGATAATGATATTGAATACCAGAGTACCCAAAATAGGGAAGAAAAACAAGGAACAGTGATAACATTATGTATCATACTTTATCACTGTCTTTATCGTATAAAACAACAACAAGAAGAGCAGAAAGGCGGATATATAAAATGTTTTCACATCAGTCCCGAAGAAACCTGAGCTCAACCAAACCACCCGGTCGCTGTACTGGCCCCTATGCCCCTTTTGTGGGCGTTACCGGGTGGGCGCCGCAGACTCCGGGCCCGGGATTCCCCCATAAGGAGGAGCGCGGCTGACCCGGGGAAGTCTTGAGTCCACAATGGGACAGTCTCACGTCAGCTGCCTCGCCAACAACACACTATTCGTCCCTGCCTTTAAGTGATCGTTCACTACTCAAAGCACTGAACACGAAGCTACAGGGAGTTTGATTATTTGATAGGACGGCGAGGTTGCTCTTTTGTTCTCGTGGAATAACTTCGGAATAAAAGCATTTAAAAAGAAAACTTATAAAAAAATACTAGTCTTCGTATATATTATCACAAGAAGAAAACAGTGCGGAATCAAACGATCTCAACTAACCGCCCTATCAGTACATTGCCAATGAACTTTAGTCGCTGGTTGCCGTTTAAGTCAGTGTAGCGGGGTGCGAGGCCTTCTAGGATTCGGCCCTGGATTGAATTAAGGAAGGAAGGACCCCCTCGCCGCGACCTCCACGCGTTTCCCACCAAGGTAAGCCTCGCAGCAACATGTGGAGACTCTTAATGTAACTAAGTCATGTTCGTTTTTAAGGGGGAAATCGTCTCTTTTTTCGGTATTTTTTTTTTTTCTTAGTTCCTTCTTTGTAACTGATTGAACTGAAAGATAGTTTAGGAATTTGATTTAAATGTATTTTTATAAGGATAGTTATTTTAGTACTAAAGACATATTAATAAACTACTAGATCATTATTGTCCACGAGACAGCGTTCCCACGTAAGGACACGTGACATCGGCGTTAGAGAAATATCACCCAGGACTCATATGCACAGGAAAAAATACATTGCTGTGTGTGCGTGGAACTATCTGTATATAACTACATTTATTGTGTATACATGAGTTTTTTTTTTTTTTTTTTGCATATCTGTTTGTGTATGTATATACAGAAAGGGAAAATGTGCACACAGTTTGATTTTACGTTCTATTAAGTGTACAGTGCAAGGTAATGGTTCTCCTGAACGGCGTCTCTTGTTTCCAACCAAACCATGACCGTTTCCGGGGAACGCCTTGCCCCCCACCCTCCCCCCTCCTTCTCAACCCCTCCCCTTTTTTCCACTTCTTTGTTTTCCTCAACATGGAGAATTCCCCCGAGACAGACAGTTGCATTACGTGTGGCGAATTTTGCATCCTGCATTTCTTTTTTGTTCCTTTTTTTTACCTTATTGAATGTATTGAGGATTTAAAGATAAATCTAAATCGTTTAAATAGGTATAAGAATGCTGCATTTTTTTTTTTTTTTTACTTTGTTTTTAGACCTTACAAACGAATGTAAGTTTTACGTTGGAACTTGTACCGATATTTCGCCAACTTTCGTGACGTCATACTGCATTATCTCGCTACTCACATTCACTTACAAGAACGAACATAAGAATAAGGAAGAACAGAATAAGTAAAGAAAGATAGCAATATGAATAAAACTAAGAGTAATAAACACTCTTTATGAACAATTATATTGATATCATCATAGTTCTGAAATTAAAATGAATATGCTAATATATATGGTAATGAGAACACGCGAAAGTATTTTCAAAGAAAACAATAAGCTCGAATTAAAGACGTTTGTTCCAAGGATTGTCCCCGCAAAATTCCAGGCTGCGTTCAGGGACAATGCCAGATCGGTCTTTTTTATTTATAGGATTTCTGCTGTCTGGAGGCCGCGAAGCTTTACTTTGCCTCCACCAACAGGTTCTGGGGATTGCATGAATTCAACTGTCATGCGACTGTTCATGATTTTCGAGGTATGAATGGGAGATTGGTCTGTCTCTCTCATTCTTGTCTCTCTCTCTCTCTCTCTCTGTCTGTCTGTCTGTCTGTCTATCTCGCTCTCTCACTGTCTATCTGTCTATCTGTATATATCTGTCTGTGCATCTATTTACCTATCTAACTATCTAGGTCTTATTATGCCGCGTCGTTTTGGGAGATTTGGATAAAAACAAAGCTTTTAGTTAATAACCCCTCTTCTGTGTGTATGTGTGTGTGTGTGTTCGTGTGTGTGTGTGTGTGTGTGTGTGTGTGTGTGTGTGTGTGTGTGTGTGTGTGTGTGTGTGTGTGTTTGTCCACTATCTATCTGTCTGCATATCTGCCATGTCAGTCTACATATCTCTCTATCTCACTTCCGAACACTTTACACCTCCCATCTATCACATTCAAAATCACATTGATATATTACATGTCCAGCTTGCGATCTTAACTTTGACCCAGTTAGAATTCCTTCACGAACACTCCTGTCGCAGGAAAAGGCACGCAATTCATATAACATTTGAAAACATGTTAGGTCGTCTTTACCGCTATTACTCTTTTTTCTATGCATTTTAAACCATAAGGAGACAAATTCTTTTTGATTGAAAAGGAAATAAATCATTATGCTACAAATTGCAGTGAAATAGTGCAGTGCCTGTTACATATGTGCTACAGACTTCGTTATTCTGACGAGGAGAAATGACGGTGTCGGTTTCATAGATTTATAACACGTGACGCAGAGCTTTTCGTACAAAATGCAGGGGACCTTGACTCGTGCTTAGCATTTACGACGCTATAGTTTGTTGGATACTTAAAAGACTTTAGAAATAATGTATTATCACCAAAAGACGATTATTGATCATTCTTTCCCACGTGAATAGAATATAAAAAAAAATCCTTTATATTTCAATTTATGCTTTTTTATATAGTTTCACGAATATGAATGTCGCTCGTACATGATTCATGTGGTTTAAGCTTCATTGAATAATTTGATTTCTTCCTTCTCGGAAAAAAAAAGAAAAAAAAAATCCGTTTGTGGCTGACTTGCACGATACTTGGGTTGCAACTTGAGTCAAATCCTGATCTTGCATTCTTCTAAGATTACGCTCATATTTGTTTACAGGGAGATACAATGCGTACTTCCACACATCTACATATAAATGATGAATGATACACTGTAAATGTTAATTCTTTCCCGCAGTATAACTCATACAGACACCCCGCTATCTATTACTAAATCAGCCTAATGCATGAGTGCAGGAATCGTGCATTATGAATAAGTGTGTACACACATAAACGCGCAACAGGGTTTCCAAAGCACTTATGGTCATTAAAATGAATCAGTCGTGTGCCACCCATTGAACTTAGACCAACAGCATCATGCATTGAGTATGAGCCGAAGGGAATCCCAGCAGAATGAAGTATGACTCAGGAGTGTTAGCTCAAGCCCCTCCATCCGTAAAGCAGCAAAGCGTGAGAGTCTGTCTGTGTGACTTGTAAGGAAACACTTTCCTCCTCAAGACTGACTGCCTCGCCTTGCCTCGCTGGAACCTGACGCAACGCTGAATCGTCTTTATCTCTCTGGTCTCCTGCAATTGTTTTTTTGTTTTTGGCTTTTTTTCTCCACCCCCCAACCCCCTTCGTCTCGCACTATTGTGAGCGGAGCCAAAACAACGCCTCGGGAAGTGACGCAAGGAAAGCGACAACAGGGCTGTGTGTTCCGAAAAGGGAGGAAGGAGGTTAGTGCCTGTCAGTAACTACAGGCCATGACGGGTATTGTCGGTGGCACCCCAGCTGGAACCTGGCACCCTCCCGAGCCAGTGCCAGTATCAACTCTTGTTCTGGCACCTGGCGACAAGATCTTCATAAACAGGCTCCTCTAAACAGCTGTTCGTCATGTAATGTCGATTTTTTTGAGAAGTTATGAAGCAATGCCGATTATTCAGAACAAACGTTACACTTTATAACTTTTTGGTATGCAATTGCCTAATCAACCCTCTTGCCTGATGGAAGAATGCTCACACGATTATACATTTTGCTATATGCCAACGCGTACATCCGCACGTGATATATTATGCAAACAAATGCTCATGATGTATCTGCATAAAAAGACGACAGCGTTCCCGTTAAATGATGCAACGGCAAGAGGACCTCAAGAATGACCTTTAGTGAGTAGTAAACGCGAGGATGGGTTGCCAGGCATAGTTTTGAAATTAATCTGAATATGTTTAGCATGTCATTTGTGTCTGTGCGTTTATGCTACCATGAAACCCTAGCAAGTAACTCGCGTCCAGTGAATATACATATAAATTATATACAACAATGAATACGAGACAACTAAAATGCTATAAGTAACCTCACGATATAAAACTCAAACGTCAGTATAACCCCATCAAACGTTTATGAGGGAATCCCCCCCCCCCCAAGAGGCAAAAAGGTGGAGGGGGAGGCTACACCGTGTCCCATCGCATTCGAAATTAGGGTTATGACACCACTCTACCTTGACGCAATATTGCTCAGTCGACGTCGGGGAACTACCCTAAAATAAGGGTGTCGGAATTTCTTAAGTTTTCCTGAAATACGGCGTGTGTTAATCGGGAATAATTTGACGATTTTTTTTTTTTTTTTACTAAATTTATTGCACAACTAGGAGACCTTATTGCAGTGGTTATATTACCAGTAACATAACGTCATGGATATGGTTCTGAATCTACAACTCTTAATCTATTTATCTGTTTTCTCTGTGTTTAGGTACGAGGTATCAGCCAATAAAACTACGTGTGTGTGTGATGTAAGGAAATCTTTGAATCGATTTTACCCGCCTTGAAGTTGTTATGGTCTCCGCACACAAAACACACACAATGAAAATGATAATCATCATCATCAGCCTCATGTCGATGATCTTAAGTCATCTGGAGTTTTCACAAGTCGCAACGGGATTTGCGACTTGCTGCGACCTTCTTGCCTCACTCACTCATGAACAACTACCCCCCCTTCCTCACCCTTCCCCCCTTCCTCTCCCTCTCTCTCTCCCCTCTATTCCCCGTCCTCTCCACCCCCCTCCCTCCCTTCTCTCTCTCTCCTCTATTCCCCGTCTTCCCCCCCCCCTCCTCTCCCTCTCTCTCCCCTCTATTCCCCGTCTTCTCCCCCCCCCCTCCTCTCCCTCTCTCTCCCCTCTATTCCCCATCTTCTCCCCCCCCTCCTCTCCCTCTCTCTCCCCTCTATTCACCGTCTCCCCCCCACCCCTCCTCTCCCTCTCTCTCCCCCTTCCCACTCCTACGTCCTCCTCTACCTCTCCCTACCCCCCCACCCCTCCTTCCTACGTATATACCATGCATAAGAAGTTAGGAGGGGGTAGAAGGATGGAAAGGGGGGGGGGGGTAAGGACGCAATGGAGAACCAGTTGCCAGCTGTTGGTGTTGCAATGTTATTTTTGTTTCATTTCTTGGGCGATATTTTTGAGCTTGCAAGACTACTCCGTTACGGAATAAGTCATTTATCTAGACGTGAAAGTATGCTCAGTTACATATGCATACACACCTCCACATGCTTTATACTGCGCGCACACACACACACACACACACACACACACACACATACACATACACATACACATACACATACACACACACACACATACACACACACACACACACACACACACACACACACACACACACACACACACACACACACACACACTTACATACACACACACATACACACACACATACA